TGGTAATGTTTTAACTTTATATATATATTTACAATGCTCATCATCTAACATAATAATTATATACGATCATAATTTTTATTTAACACCATCAAACGACGACTGCCTGTCCCAGGTCCTTGGGAAGAACTTGGATAGAAGTGCCAAATCCAGTGTAAACATTTGGCTGACTATACAACCTACTTATAGTGATAAAGGGACACAAGTGTTTTCTAATGTTTTTCTTTTAAATAGAAGGTTTGAGTTCATTAAAAACAAACATGACCATATTGGTCAAAAGGAACAAAAACAATTCTAACATTTTTGGATTATTAAAGCGAGGGATGAGCAGGATCTAGATTAAATGGAAATGGAGATTATGTATTTATGTTGCTAGGTGTCTCTTAATTTTTACTGGGCCTTTGCTGATGTCTAAGGAGAGCTGAAGATTTAAGTTGAAAGGAAACGGGGTGAAGTATGGAATGAAGATGCATTTGGTTGTATTTCAAGAGACAGTGATAAGTTCTTAATGTTGAATATACTTGCTGGGGGTGAAGGAGGAAGTTTCTTTTTCTTACTACTTCCTTGGAGCATTTTTCCCTACTTTTTCCTTTTTCTTTTTTATGTATTTTTGTATTAAGTTTGACCTGTTCAATATATTTCTTAATAAAATTAGTAGCGGGGAAAAGTAAATACATACCAGTGGCCAAGTGCCTAAATCGTGATTACATGACTATGGGAACCTGTCGTATGTCACTTGTTTCTGCGCTGTCTTAACTTTAGTTGCTAAGTGGATGGTCGTGAGGTTGAAGCCTACACGTACAAGTGAAACCTTTTTTTCCTAAGTCTGTCCTTCCCACTCCCTTATGGGGGAGGGTATTTTCAGCTATGGATTTGGGCTTGGTTCCATTGTGCATCGTTACCTGGGCAAACTCTTACTTAAGAGAGAAAGCCTCCAGCAAATTGGGAAGAAAGAGCCCATGAAGCCGATGGTCAGCATACCAGCCATTCATCATTTCTGACATTGCTGAGCTGGGAATATTGAATGGGAAGGGTCAACCATTGCAAGAAAAATAAAGATGTTTTAGGTTCGTGCCTTTCCTTGTATCCCAGAAATCTTTTTAAGTAGGCTTTGTGATCTCACAGTGTTTTTGTTACTTCGTTTGGACTTTTTAGACTTTTCTTTTTAAAGTAGGGGTAGATTATAAATAATAGTGAATAAATAAAGGGATGTCCAATCGTATACGATAAAACCAAGAGGGGACACGTTGATCTGTGCAAAAGGTTGGATGGATAGATTACTGGCAACTAGCAGAGACTTCCCCCATGGAAGGACACCTACAGGTCTCTTGGTCCATCCGTGGGTCTCCTGTCTGCAAAACTGACTTTCTGAGCAGGTTACCAAGGCTAGATTGCTGAAGGGATTTGATTTGTCCATAGAAGGTAGAATAATAGATTTGGAAGGGACTTGGAGGTCTTCTAGTCCAACCCCTTCCTCAAGCAGGAGACCCCTGTACGATTTCAGCTTGAGTCTTGCAGACGCCCGTCAAGGTCATTGGGAATAGGGGGATTGCCCAAAAGACAGTCATTTCTTGAACCTAACGTAGGTATATGGAAAGTAGCTATGGGGTTTGAGAGCATGTAGTAAACTCTCAAAAGTGGAGCATCAACTAGTATTCACCAAGTACAGGCAGATAGTTCAGCTACATAATTAAAGTTTTCTTAAAAAAAAAAGAGGGGATTATGAGCAGACCCTGGCAGTAATCCAAAATTCTAATTTCTGACTATGATTTAATTTCAATTTTAAATAAATCGGTTTTTAATTTAAAAAGAGTGAGCTTCATAACATTAGCAATGATTGCAACATTAAGCGCAGTGCTCACAATCTAGCAATATAAAACATTATTTATATCTGAATCGTAAACAGCCTTTTGAAATGGATTATGCTTTTTCTCCCTATTCTAATACAACCTGGAGGGTACTAAAAAGTGTTGTGTGAAATTAACATTCTGCTGACTTTCGCCTATAAATGAGAAGCGAGCTATTAACATTTGTGTATTTTCATTATGTAAATTGTGTTAACACATGCCCACAAATTGCCACCAGCGATACAATAATTTTCTCTCAGTGATCATAATGTGTCCAAGTGAGTCATTTTGATTATGACATGCTAATTACATATTGCCTCCCCTTTTTTTCCCCCCTTTTCAGATTCAGAAAAACCAGGGATCTTTAATGGTAAGCTTTATGAGTTTGGGAAAAAAATTCACTTTTCTTTTTCCTGATGGCTGCTTCTTCGCATGCTTGAATGCCTTGTTTTAAACTTAGCAAATTGCATTTTGCGGAAAAAGCAAACCTTTAACTGCCTGTATTAGATTAGGTACCATTAGAAATAATAGGACATCCTGAGCCACGATGTTTTTATAAGAGTTTGCTGCTGTTGATTAATCTTGCTATATTTTATTGCATTAATGATTTTTTCCCTTTCCACTCCATGTAAAGATATTGCATATAGCCTAATACTTCTCTCCCCTGTCCCCCCACCCCTTTCCATCACAGCCTCTCCAGTTACTTCAGTGCATTGTTGATGAGGTGAGTCGCTGTCTTATGTGCTTTCACTCCTAAAGTCATCCCTAATGGACTGGAAAGCTTATATTTTGTTTCCTAATGAAGCACAATGGCCCAACGTCCTCAACAGCGAGACAAGTTGCCTTGTGCAGCTCTGAGCCGTCGACTATACTTGGCCTTGTTCTGCTTTGTGCCGTTTTCTGAGTCTTCCTCTTGAATTCTGGGGGAAAGGAGGCTGTTTTCAGGAAAACCTCTCCCTCTCTTTTTCTTCCCCCTCCCGGAAAGGAAAAGAAGGGCTGTAGAAGCCCTGTGTTAATTGATCCCCTCCCTGCATTGCCAGATGAGGTGCCAGAAGCTGCAATTTGGCTTCTGGAGGAGGCTGGCTTAAGGTGTGCTAAAAAAAGGGAGCCCCATTAACGGGGGTCAGAGTTGAGTGGTAAACAAGAACAGATTGGAAGGAGGAGTCTTGTGGGAGAAAATGGTGATTGACGTGTCTCTTCTGCAAATCTGGACCTTCTGTAACCATTTCGTCCCAATCTGGAGGTTTCCTGCAGGAGCTTCAAGATGCTGGTGCCTCCTTTGGCACATGGACAAATGCCCACCAGCTGCCTTGGGTGACCGGAATGGGACAACCCATTGCTGCCAACTCCCCATGGTCAGCTGGCCAAGAGATAACTCGGCACGAGAGAATTCAACAAGTAGAAAAGTTAAATTACCATGGCCAATAATAAAGTCAATCCGGAAATACTAGAGTTACAATAATTTAGATGAAAACATGGTCACAAATAATAAAAGTACCTGAATGAAATGATTAATACAGCATTGAATTGTCCCATGGCAAGTTGTCCTGTGGGAAATTGGGCATGGTGAATGGGCCACAGTGAGTTGCCTCGGACTCCTGGGTGACAAGGGACAGCGTCGACCCCTGCATTTCAGAGAGGGCGCTGTGCAGCCAAGGGGCTGATGTGGCCCTTTCAGGGTACATGGGATGGCGGAAGGGCCTTCTTTCCTTGAACTCAGTGAACCCCTTGATTGCTGCTTTAGCTTGGGGGGAGGTTACTGCTGACAGAAATCCCGCAGTGGTCTCCTTTCTTCTCCAGATAGACCATGTTGCTCCAAGCCTTCTGTGATGGGGAAAGCAAGGGAATGAAACAGGACAGGCTGGAGCTCCCTTCAGCCCCCACCAGGTGGGTAGGTGGGAGGAAGCAGCTCAGGAACCCGGGAAAACCAGTGGATGGAAGAAACAGTGGGAAGGGTGGCGAGCTGCAGGAGCAGGTTATTGAAGCCCCTGGAGGCAAGAGAAGGGATCCAGAGGAAAAAATAGAGACTCAGGTGAGAGGCTTTTGTTTGTTGTGAGTGCAATGTGAACAAAGGAGGGGCGTGGCATATCTTGAGCAGCTACTCCTGAATAAGGCTGAGATCCCTGCTCAGAGGAATTGGGTTGTATTTTGAGACAAAGACAGGGTCTCCGATGACTGTCCAAATCCTTGAACCACTTGCAGTCTTCTAACAGGATCCCTTGTTCTGCGGAAACATCTTTTTTATCTGTATTTCTGCTTACTCAGATTTCTTCAAGGCCACTGCGGAAGTTCTACTGCCTTCCGATCCCTTTCGTTCTGTCTTGGATTGCTTGTCAAACTGGCACATTCTTGTCCATAGCACCTGAGGCAAGATTAATTCTATTGATATATATATACAGGTCTCTCCTTTCCTTCAGGAATGTGGGAACCTTTATAAAACAAATTCTGAAGACTCCTGAATGCCGTGAAAAAGTTTCAGTGCATAAACTTCGCTGTTTAAAACATTCTGATCTGATTCTGAATCCAATACATCCTGGAGTTCATGCAAACTGTGTAGATAGGTTCACTTGTTATGATTTAAAGACATGGACAAGACACCTTTAAGGATTTGGCCAATTCTCGTCCCTTTGACCCTTGCTCATCACAGATAGCAGTCTTTTAGCAGGAAAGAAAGGATTGGGTGAATCCAAGAAATAGTTCATATTTCTCACCCTACTAATGTTCCCTACAGTTTCTATGTACGTCCCACCTCAGAATAATAGGCCAGCCATGCCATTGATGGTTGGCAATTGTACAGGGAATGCACCATGACCTAAGAGCAGCCTATGACTATTAGGAAATTTCTACTAATACCAAATTGGACTTACAAATTGGACCTGTAGTTTCAACTAATTCATTCACTTCTGTCCTTCACAGTAGTAGAAAACAGACCCACCCCTCTGTCTAATAGTCCTTTAGATATTTGAAGATTGCTATCATGCAGTCTCTTCCACCCAGTTTTCTCTTCTACACTCTAAACATACCCAGTTTCTTAACTATTTCTCATAGGACTTGGTTGCTGTACTGTGGCTATCTTGAAAGCCTTCCCAGAATTTCACCACCTTTTCAATGTTTTTTGATACTGCAGAGCCCATAACTTGACACTGAGCTCCAAGTATGGGGCTGACCAAGGCAGAGAATTTATTGGAATAGAATAGAGCTGGAAGGGACCTTGGAGGTCTTCTTGTCCAGCCCCCTGCTCAAGCTTAAAAACCTCCAGTGGTGAAGCATCCACATCTTCTAGTGGCAAGCTGTTCCATTGGTTAATTGTCCTCACTCTTAGGACGTTTAATTCCAGGTTGCTTCTCTCTTTGATTAGTTTATTAGCTTATTAATTTATTGGGGCAATTACTTCCTGTGATCTGGACTCAGTGCTTCCCCAGTTAACATTTACCTTTTAAGAGTTTCATCACGCTATTGAATTAAGTTCCATTTGCAAGCTACTAAAACATCTAAATTCTTTTCAAGTGTCCTATTGCTAAATTAGATTTCCTGTGCGTGTATCATTCATTTTTCTTGCAGAAGCAGAAGATTTAAAATATTTCTCACCATTGAAATTTATCCTTTGTGTGTCATCCTCCTGCTCAAACGTAACAAGTCTTTTTAATTCTTCTTTCATGTTCATTCTAAAGTATTAGACACACTAGGGGTGTAAAACTCACATCGTCATGGCGGTGTCCTGTGACGTATCAGGACTTCCCCCCCCCATTTTTGCTAAACTGGGTGGGGGTGGAGCCAACACATGATGCATCTAGTCCTCAGACTGCAAATTTGACACCCCTGAGACACACCTATCATTTATTAACCATAGGATTTTGCTTTTTGTTTACCTGCAAAAAATCTCATTTTCAGTTGAAAGGGAGGTTATACATATTTCAATAAATTAAAAAAGGTGGGTTGCTGCTGATTTGCTTTACAACAGTGGCTCAAACCAAAGAGCCTCCCAAAGCTGCTAAAACCCAGTGCTCTATCCAGAAGAGACGACATGTAAGAGAATAGAGAGTAGAGGGCCTACCTGTGGTTAGCCACTGCCCTTGAATTCCAGAACTTTTCTGTTAAACCAGAGCTTGTCCTGGTAACAGGGCCTCCATGAAATAGGCCCAGGTAATATAACAGAGTCCCGACTGGGACAGAGAGCAGAACGGTGGAGAAAGTGTGGAGGAGAACCCAAAGGGGCTTTTTCAGGAGACAACTGGACTTTGAAGCTATTTCACTTCTCATCCAAGAAGCTTCTTCAGCTCTGACAGGATAGCAGAGAATGGAAGGATTTACATTCCTTGCAGACAACTTGGTCATTTGCATCCTTTTAGAGAGTCGTTGAGGCCACGTGGCGGTTTATCTGTGTCCTCGGGGTCACCTGAGTTGTGCTCCTGGTTCTTCTAGTCTGCAATTTTTTTCCCCTCTGGAAATCCATTCCTCCTCCCACACCATTCAAAGGGTCTTCATCCCAAATTGCGCAGCTAAAAGTCTGTAGAGAATCTATACAGACTTTTGGCAGAGGAGATATTTTTCAAATGCAACCAATAAGAGCAAATACTGTCCCAAAGGTGCTTTTTCAAAAGCCCCCTGGACTNTGGATAGAAGTGCCAAATCCAGTGTAAACATTTGGCTGACTATACAACCTACTTATAGTGATAAAGGGACACAAGTGTTTTCTAATGTTTTTCTTTTAAATAGAAGGTTTGAGTTCATTAAAAACAAACATGACCATATTGGTCAAAAGGAACAAAAACAATTCTAACATTTTTGGATTATTAAAGCGAGGGATGAGCAGGATCTAGATTAAATGGAAATGGAGATTATGTATTTATGTTGCTAGGTGTCTCTTAATTTTTACTGGGCCTTTGCTGATGTCTAAGGAGAGCTGAAGATTTAAGTTGAAAGGAAACGGGGTGAAGTATGGAATGAAGATGCATTTGGTTGTATTTCAAGAGACAGTGATAAGTTCTTAATGTTGAATATACTTGCTGGGGGTGAAGGAGGAAGTTTCTTTTTCTTACTACTTCCTTGGAGCATTTTTCCCTACTTTTTCCTTTTTCTTTTTTATGTATTTTTGTATTAAGTTTGACCTGTTCAATATATTTCTTAATAAAATTAGTAGCGGGGAAAAGTAAATACATACCAGTGGCCAAGTGCCTAAATCGTGATTACATGACTATGGGAACCTGTCGTATGTCACTTGTTTCTGCGCTGTCTTAACTTTAGTTGCTAAGTGGATGGTCGTGAGGTTGAAGCCTACACGTACAAGTGAAACCTTTTTTTCCTAAGTCTGTCCTTCCCACTCCCTTATGGGGGAGGGTATTTTCAGCTATGGATTTGGGCTTGGTTCCATTGTGCATCGTTACCTGGGCAAACTCTTACTTAAGAGAGAAAGCCTCCAGCAAATTGGGAAGAAAGAGCCCATGAAGCCGATGGTCAGCATACCAGCCATTCATCATTTCTGACATTGCTGAGCTGGGAATATTGAATGGGAAGGGTCAACCATTGCAAGAAAAATAAAGATGTTTTAGGTTCGTGCCTTTCCTTGTATCCCAGAAATCTTTTTAAGTAGGCTTTGTGATCTCACAGTGTTTTTGTTACTTCGTTTGGACTTTTTAGACTTTTCTTTTTAAAGTAGGGGTAGATTATAAATAATAGTGAATAAATAAAGGGATGTCCAATCGTATACGATAAAACCAAGAGGGGACACGTTGATCTGTGCAAAAGGTTGGATGGATAGATTACTGGCAACTAGCAGAGACTTCCCCCATGGAAGGACACCTACAGGTCTCTTGGTCCATCCGTGGGTCTCCTGTCTGCAAAACTGACTTTCTGAGCAGGTTACCAAGGCTAGATTGCTGAAGGGATTTGATTTGTCCATAGAAGGTAGAATAATAGATTTGGAAGGGACTTGGAGGTCTTCTAGTCCAACCCCTTCCTCAAGCAGGAGACCCCTGTACGATTTCAGCTTGAGTCTTGCAGACGCCCGTCAAGGTCATTGGGAATAGGGGGATTGCCCAAAAGACAGTCATTTCTTGAACCTAACGTAGGTATATGGAAAGTAGCTATGGGGTTTGAGAGCATGTAGTAAACTCTCAAAAGTGGAGCATCAACTAGTATTCACCAAGTACAGGCAGATAGTTCAGCTACATAATTAAAGTTTTCTTAAAAAAAAAAGAGGGGATTATGAGCAGACCCTGGCAGTAATCCAAAATTCTAATTTCTGACTATGATTTAATTTCAATTTTAAATAAATCGGTTTTTAATTTAAAAAGAGTGAGCTTCATAACATTAGCAATGATTGCAACATTAAGCGCAGTGCTCACAATCTAGCAATATAAAACATTATTTATATCTGAATCGTAAACAGCCTTTTGAAATGGATTATGCTTTTTCTCCCTATTCTAATACAACCTGGAGGGTACTAAAAAGTGTTGTGTGAAATTAACATTCTGCTGACTT